ATTATTATTATTATTATTATTAATATTCTGGAGGTGACGGTGATTTTCCCCGCTGTATGGCGCCAACCTACCATCTACCGGTTAAGCCAAAATACAAATAGTATAATCGATTTGTGTTGTAGGGAAGAATCCGCAAAGCATTTGATCACCTATGTGTGTTTTTTATAAGTATCTGAAAACGCGTTGAAGAGAAAAAACTATGAGAAAACATATTTTTGGAAATATCGGAAATGATTCCTAGGGTTATTTTCAGTGGTCCAGAATTACGTAAAGCTGTTGACTCAGCATCTCAGAAAAATCAAAATTTGTTTAACAATCCCTTTATAATTTGTTGTTTAAAACCATTTTTTTGAAAATGTATTGTACTTATATCACAAATGGCTGCTGTTTTGTTTTAAGCAGAGTGCTATTTTCAAGTTTTTTGACATTTAAGTTTTTGTAGTTTACTCAGCGCTATTTTTGATGCGTTATTAACTAAAATTCATGCAATTCAGCTAACTTTGGCTTATAAATTGAAGTGATAATTGGGTAATTAATATGTTATTTTCAGGAAAATAATCGTAACCACATCTATCGAACGCGAATAAACAAATTTCGAATTTCAGAACGAAATTTTTCAAACAATAAATAATGTCATATCCCTATTTTTTTCTGTTCTTTTACACATAACTGTGTAGATATTTTACATAAAACATCAATGTAGCGTACCACTTAAAAATTACATGCACGAAAAAATTAGAATATTAGATTATTTCCAAATTTTCAACTGTACTATCTCTGTTAGGGCCGTTCCTCTTCTTAATATCACTTAACAACTTCTTCTGCAGTGTAATGGAGTAAACACAGCGCACCGTTGCTTAATTAGATACCATAACGTTAAAGTTTACGAGCCGACAAAGATACTCCCAGACTTGAGGCAAAAAGGTTGAAGCAAAAATGAGCATTTACAACACTTTTTTCAGACATTATGCAAATTAATTTACTGGGAGGCATGCAACATTCCATGGAGTTGCAGACCTTTCCTAGGTCTTAATTACACTGCGTGAGCACACGCCTTTAACCATGTCACGCGTACGTTTAAGGCCACTACTGGAACGTTTTGGGGTAAATACCAAACGATAAGGTCTTGCGAGATCTCTAAAACTACACAGGAAAATTTACAACAGACAGCTCTGTTATAAAACATTTGAATTGAACAACGCTGGTCAAATACCACCCAGTTTATGGCGATGGTTAAAACCATACGTGCTTAGTGCACGCTTTTAAATTGTTTTAAAGTCAATAAGAAATCTACTTCAAAATTTTTATGTTAGAAAAGGAGGAAAGCTACCTTTTCTAATACAACAAACGCAGCTGCTCTGCTTTTGTTTTTCAAAAAAATCACTTTACACAGGGGCAATTGTTTGTTTCATTATTAGCAATTACATGTTTAAAGTGCTTTCTAGGAATAGATAAGAAAATGTATTTTCGTAGCAAATAACTGGGCACAAAATTCATTCACTCGTATACAAAACAATAAAATAATTTTAAATAATTAAATTTATATTTACATAACTTAAAATTTTAGATTTTAGTATTTTCATCTGATTCATTGATTTATCATGACATTTTGTATTTAAATTTATTGCTTTCACATTGTTGATTTTTTAAGACTGCAAAAATATATTGTTTTATTAACTACCGATAATATTAAACACAGTGTTTTTAACTTATAAAATTATATTATTGCAATTAAAATTACATTACAATTTCACAGAGTTTCGACAATCAAGTTTTATGTTCTTCAGATAATTGTCCTTAAAGATAAAATAAACAAACAAAACTGGTTTTTTTAATATCCGCTGTGATAAAATATGTAATATAATAAAATTGAATGAGAAACTTTCTTAGAACATTCTAGAAATGACAAAGAATTTAAACATATTTAAATTAATATGAATTCATATTTTATTAATATTTCCCCACCATATTTTATTTTTAGAGCTAATCACATGAAGAAAACGCTTGATTGATTAATTGATGTTTACGCATTATCTTCCCCCATCTGGGTATGCGCCTGGGCAAGTTCATTGCTTCCGACTGGTTTCCCGACATAAGTGGGAATGTAGAGCATGTAAGTTTCAGTGTGTGTGTGTGTGTGTGTGTGTGTGTGAGTGTGAGTGAGTGAGTGTGAGAGAGAGAGAGAAAGAGAGAAAGAGAAAGAAAGAGAGAGAGAAAGAGAGAGAGAAAGAGAGAGAGAAAGAGAGAGAGAGAAAGAAAGAGAGAGAGAGAAAGAAGGATAGAACAAAGAAGTGGAAGAAAAGATCGCGTGGTCCAGTTCTGGCCAGTTAATCAGAATGGAATTGACCGCAGAAACCCCGCGAAACTACCGATCAGAGCAGCCGACAGTTAGAATTCTCCGCACGACAGCGGCTGATTTCGGCCTACCTTTGTAGCTAGTACCGAAAATCCGTCACCGACGGTAATTGAACCCAAGAATATACCGGTCAGAATAACTGCAGATAAAGCTGAACTGCTCGTCTGAACTAAACTCACAGTTTAAACGAGCAATTGATTGACGAAACATGCCATTTTTAAAGTAAATTTTATAATACTGAGTAAAATGATTGGTCGTTAGGATAGAAACTCGTAATGCTGACTGCCGTGTCGCCTTCCCTGCCCCGCCACCGCCGTGTCCTCGGCGTGTCGGCGCCGTGGCGTGCGACATGCACTAGCGTGGTTGCGTGTTGCATTGCGTGTCCGTGCCTAAAGCTGGGCTTCTTGTACTTCTCGGCCATACGTCACTTACACTCTCCACTGTTTCTGAAGACCATTCCACACCTGAATGTAACACCAATAGCTTTCAACTATAGATGGAACATTCACCAATGAAGGCGGGGTGTCCTCGCAAAGTTATCGCTTTTTCTCACTACCTCCTCCCCTCTGGCCAATCACAAGATACGATTTAGATTACAGACATTTCGTTTCTTTTTCTTCGCGTAATTTAATGGTTTATAAATAATCGGTTTTATATTATTATATTACCTTTTTCGTGATTAAGCCGACGCATTTATCGGGACTCGGTGGCAAACATTATCTCGGAGGCAGGTTGCGTGAAATTTTTATCAGTGGATCAGCATTTTAGCTGCATCCGATTGTTATCCCCCAGGGAAATTCTTAGTCCTGGGAGTATAGAAGATGAAATGACGATAGTGACGGGTGAGAGGACGACAAACACATACAAACACAAATACGCCCAAGCCCGAGGCGAGACTCGAACCCGATCTTCTGGTCCGAGACTGCTACGGCACTTCTGGCTCAGCGATCTCTGCTATATGATCCGCTATTATTATTATTATTATTATTATTATTATTATTATTACTTGCATGAAACTATATTACCTTAATCATGTAATGATGACCTGCCACCGAGATATAGCCTATTGCAGTTTAAATAAGTTTATCCTATCTTATCAATCATAGGAAGTGTTAACTTTGTGCACATGTATCGCGAACGTAAATTTACAATAACAATATTTGGTGCATTCCGAAACTCGTTTGGAGATAGTTTTATTCTGCGAACAGTCTTATAAATACCACTCGTGCGTCGTAAATGTCCAGATAAATTTTCACCACTCTGGAATTTATGGGAAATTTTCATTGCTCGTACATGGCATTGCCGAAACGTGGGTAATAATTGCGTTGCAATCAATTGTCTTCCGATTTAAAATAAAGTTTAATTTTTAAGAGGTGTACAAATCTGCAGTGCACATTCTCTTCCACCCAAAAGAACTTGAATTTATTTCCATTTTCCACATTGTAAAATTGCAGAATATTATATTTTTTTCAGATACTTGTTTATCCTTCCATTTCCCTTATTTTAATTTGTTTTCCCTCACTGATTTCAGTTATTCCTTGCTATAATTGTTGCACTTTCCGTGCTATACGGCTATGCATCGAGTGAACATACCCACTGCAGAATTAATCGGCAATTTTTTTTATTCGGGAATTTGTCATAAATTTGCAATGCACGCGTGGTATCACATGTGATAATTTTGAATTAAAGATAATGTTAAACAAGTTTGCAGTGTAGAGTGTTCATTTTTCTCCACTTGGAAAAACGTAAATGTTGTATTTACATTTTACAGAAATTTTCAAATTACTCAATTAGTGGACCCATCAATGCTTCGCTATTACACTACAAATGCCAGTAATCTCGTTTTATGTTATGCTTTGCAAATATTTTAATAGTTTCTCGCGAGTATGAATTTGTCCAAGGTCCTGCTTTGGATATGGTTGTCAAGTATCCTATTGTTAAAACTTCCTCCCTCAAATGTGGGTGTGCATTCGCTTTGATACCGTCTTGAAGAAATTTGATTTACTTGTCCAACATAACGTCCAAAAAATAATTCCCGCTGATATTTCATAATCCCTGCGGCAGAATATGCAGCCTAGTTTCGCTTAATGCGTTCCGCAGATTTGCATAGAAGTTCTGTTCAGGGGCACTTGAGTCAGCATGAATATTACATCATAATGAACGCGAATCTAATATGCAAACGGACATACACACATTCCCATTGTAACTATGCTTATATCCTTGGCCCAAGCGCAAACAATAAGTTTACAAAGTTTTATCGCAATCCGATGAACGGAACAGCAGCGTATAAAATACGAACAAACAAAAATGCTCTTATAATATATATACATATATATACAATATATATACATATATATACATATATATACATATATAATATATCATATATATACATATATATACATATATAATATATAACTATATATACATTTTATATAACATATATATTATATATATATATATATATATATATATATATATATATTATATATAATGCATATTAGATTGTCTCCAGATACTTGTTTATCCTTCCATTTCCCATGCCTTTATTTCTTCTTCTTTTCGTTTGCTGATTCTCCCTCCGTGCGCGTGGCGTGCGCGCGCGCCGTGCTTAGTGAAGTGTGTGTGTGTGTGTGTGTTGCAGTGCGAGCCGGTGCCCGGGCTGGGCTTCCGGCGCGGCAGCTACCGCTGCGTGTGCCGGCGCGGCTTCTACTTCCCCGACACGCGCGCGGGCGACCGCCACTTCAACGGCTCCGTCGTCGAGGAGGAGTTCGAGAAGCTCGTCTCAGTAGGTAGACGCACGCGCCCGCCCCCCGCCGCCCACGCTCACCCTCCACTCAAATGGACACGTTCATCTTTTTGTCATGTTGGATTATAAAGATAAGAGAAATGAACGTGTCTATTGAGTGGAAAGTGAACAAAAAAGTCACGCTCACCTTCCACTCAAATGGACACGCTCATCTTTTTGTCATGTTGCATTATAAAGATAAGAGAAATGGACGTGTCTATTTAGTGGAAGATAAACGAAGAATTCGTGAATATGGCTCACAAGACATCGTGTTACGTTATTATGTTTCGTTATAAAAATAATAACGTGGCAAGATGTGTTGTGAGCCAGATTCACTAATTATTCGTTGACCTTCCACTCAATGGACACGTTCATTTCTCTTTCTTATGGTTCATTATAAATATAATCGAAATGAACGTGTCTATTGAGTGGAAGGTGAACGAAGAAGTCGTGAATATGACTCAAATGACATCTTGTCACGTTATTATGTTTCGTTATAAAGATAATAACGTGACAAGATGTCTTGTGAGCCAGATTCACGAAATATGTTTATAAAAGTAAACTTGCACTACTGTTTCCTAAGCATGTTATTTCACTTTCCTAAAAAAACTATTTTTAATGTGTTATTTGTTCGAAAAAATGCGTTTATGTTCTCCCAAACCCCAGCAAACACACGACATGAAATCAGTTTCAACTTATTTTAATTAAAGTACACAAATCACTTAATGAAGTAGGAATTAAGGTCAGTAGATAAGTCAGATGCGGTGTGGTCACACGAAAGTATTTTATTCTTTGTTTCAATGACAAATCTGAACACTTAAGTAAGGGCTCAGGTATTAAAGTCGCTCTCAGGACGTGACTTGCAGTAACTTAAGTAAAAGCACTGTCAACGCGCAGCGTGTACGTCATGAACCCCATGCTCTCTCACTACTCGGGGAGGGCAGGAAGGAGAAAACGAGGTTAGAATACGCGAGGGGGATGGGATTTACCATAACGTAAACATTCATTCTCAAGCGGGTCTCCTTTTCACAGCTCTTCTGTTGTAACGTCTCAGACGACGTTGTAATGTCTGAGAGACGTTTTCATCGACTTCCTGTCGTTGGCTTCTTTTTAAGAAATAAATTTCTTTCTCAGTAACATAAAAAACAATTCAATCAAAACTTCTGTTTTACTGCTCACAAATTACAACTTCTTAGTCACTAAGAAGTTATTACTGATAATGTTCGTAATATAATGTGCATAAACCCACTTTCCCGTGCAACTCACATGCTTTTAAACTTGTCTCCACGACCTCGCAAAGCATTTTACTTGATTATTTAGAGTCTTATATAATAATATGCCGTTGCTAGGACAACACAACTGACAACGATGACCTTCGGTCGATTAACATGATACCCCAGTGCGACATGGAGACAACTGACACCGGCAACCGGCTACTATACACTAATAGAAAGGTGTAGATTTTGATGACCATCGTCAAATATGATCAATAAAATGCTTTCAACAAAAGTCTTCAAAATGCCCTAAAAGCACAAAAAATACGTACATTTTTTTATCAAAACCAGTTCAGATGAAAACTGAAGCTATTTTTGGTTTGGACTGTCCTTTACTAGGAACTCTCTGTCTTCAGTTATCCCAAAATCGGCCTAACAATGGCGCTGATAGACGTCACATGAACCTTAGATTACATCTCACAACGGTTGACATTACAATGTCTTAGCAAAGAAAACCAATAGGCCACTCAGAAATTATGTAGAGGACGTTTGTTGTGTCTTGTAAATATTATGTGAAGCAAGTAGGTACCATTAAAATATTAAAATCGATAAAATCAGCAAAAATGATTTGAAAATTAAGGGAAAAAGTAAAAATAAGAGACATTAGTCGAAATCGTTAAAAAATGTGAAAACATTTTTTAATAAAATCTTGTAACTTCCTTTTCTCATAACATAAAATTAATTTCAATATTAAAAGAACATTCTTCTAAGGTGAGAAAAAAACAAGATTTCAAAATCTGCTCCCTTACTATCAGAGATTATCCGGGCTGACAGCCAAAGAGGAAGTGATTTTTCTGATGTCGCAGCTGACTTGCGAACAGTTTTTATTTTATTTTCAATAGTTTAAATATACTATTTTCTATACATACCACTTCACTTAATTCGCAAATTATCAAATGTGTTGCTTTCATTCTCCAGCAATGATATGCGATTATGTTATTTAAAACTCCAACAACACCACTTATGTCATAAGCGTGTGACAAATACAGTAAAATCCAATGGTAACCTCTCAGAAGACTTACGAAATATCCTCCCATTCACGTCATGTGGTCCATGCGTGCGTAGTGGCTGCACTAGAGAATATACAATGTTGCCACTATTTAATAAACATCCCTCCAAACTAGTTACATTCTCAGTACACCAACAGAAATTAACAGTGATGAAGAGAACTAAGCAAATTGAGGGAAGTGAGGTAGTTTGTCATTGCTTTTCTCTCCCGTCCAGGAAGTTGTAAAGCTCAATTTGTTTTTGTTCTACCTTTCATCGGACAAATGCTCTTGCTCCGCAGCATCCAAACAGTTTATTTATTCCCGTTTTGTGGACTAATCTATCCATAACTTGCGAAAACCAATGTTCTTAGTTTTCCCATGTAGTCTTCCAGCTTTCATTTTATTGAAAATCTTTTCAGTTTTGGCCATAAAGCTACTATTTTTTTAAAAATTCTATTAGAAGGCTATGTGTATGTGTGGTATGTCTATAGAGAAACATTTTTTGCCTAGCAGGAAAGATAAATGAGTTTTTCACAAACTTTACGAACTTATTTTCTGGTAATATACCTTTTATTGTATCACTGTGAGTCTAGAGTGCTTCACTAAATGCTTTGCGCAGCTGGAAGATGTGCATTGTTTCACCCTGCTTCGTATAACGGGGAAATAGGGGACGAGATCGCAACCTAGAAGACCCCGGTAGCTTCACACGAGGTGCAACATCGCGTGACACGCACGATGTGCAACATCACGTGGAGAAGAGCGACAATTGTGAATGCATAATGCAACTTCGAATGCATACTCAAGTACGCGCTTTTCCACGACAACTGAAGGATCAACCCTCTCACGAGGTACCTACCATGTCTTTAAGGGGAAATAAAGACATAAAACAGTAATGCGCTATTAAATAAATAAAACGTAATTTATGGGACAAGAGAGTAAAATTACGTTTTATTTACGAGTTCAATTGTTGAGTACTCGATGTGGAGATGGAGAAAGACATCTAAAAATTTAATGTTTTTCTTCCAACGCGGTACGTCTTTTGCCGAGGACGTTTGTAACTACATTAGTTTGATTTATGTATGTTAGTCCAAAATTACGAATTATCGAAATTGGGTTAAATACGCTAACACTGAGGTGGCGGTGATCAATTTCCGCTGGATGATGACATCTAGCACCGAGCTATTGTCGACTAGGGGGGGGGGGTGTTTCCCCTACCAAGTATTTTCCACCTGCGGGGTACCACTCCAGCCGGGACATGCTCTAAGCTCCTAACCGGTCTCCCAGCATGAGTAGTACGTGTAGTTCATGTACTGTATTAGTATGTGTAAAGTGTAAGGATAGGACAAGGGAGTGGAAGGAAACATCGCTCGCGTTCTGTGGCCCGTTTGTGATGGTTCTACTCCGGCATCCGACTGGTATTGATCGGAGAACCCACGGAAAACCACCGATAAGAACATTTGTTAGCTAGAATTATCCTCCAGACAGAAACTGAATTCGACTTAATCTATTTAGTGTCGAAAATACTGCCACCATCGGACTCGAACCTAGGACCTCCCACACGGAGCCTCTGGTGCAGTGACATAAGTTCATGTCTTTAACTAACCACTCTTCCCGTTTCTTTTCGGACGAAAAAAGCCTCTCTGAAATCGGTTAATAGAAAGAAGAGCCTTTGTATCAATTAAAGAGGGGTATACCATTGTCATAAGTGTTGAACATTCAGTCATAAGAATCTACAAAAAACTGAACATCTATGAAATTGAATAATGCTGTAAAATATTGAATTTTTTTCTATTTATCTTGGTTGGGATATGTATTCAGGAAATACTAAAAATACTATTGACGGAATATCACATTGTACAGTTTCTTTTCTTTCAAATTCCTTTAGGCATGTATAACACAACCTCAAAGCTAGTAAGATGTCGGGAATTTTATAAGATTACTCTCCTTGATTGTAAATAGAAAATGAAAACTAAATAGCAAAGTCCTTTATGATCACTGGGTATTGTTGCCCGTTAATTCTTAATCTCCCCCTTAACAATACATAAGAGAAAGTACAGTCCAACATAAATTCTTTGAATATTAGATAAATAGTACAAAAAGAGTTTTTCTATACGTTTTATTACAAGTTTTCAAGGTCAGTTTTCTCTCTGGCGTTGGGTTATAAAATTTTCAATGCTTTTTCTTATTTTTCTTTTTCACAGAAGTTTTCTTCCTTCATAAATAGAGAAAATCCACCCTAGATCTTCACATAAACCCAGTTATATAATGTATGTCGCTCCAAGTGTTTTTTGTAATAAAGCTTCTGTGCTCTTTTAATTTCCTGCTGTAGAAATGAAATACTAGCTCCAGAGAACACTATAAATTAAAAGAGAATTTCAGACGACATTCCAAGGTGCCTCTTTCTTACATATTAGATTGAAAATACTATTTTCGTTTCATTCAGAGAACAATTTTTATTTTTGTGTTATTATTGTATTACTACTACTGCCTTCCATTTATAAAAAGGTTATCGATTGTACACATTCGTAATAATAATTTGTTTGTTAAAGGATGTATATGTTATGTAAAAAAGTATAGTAACGAAAGAAAATCTTTGAAATAAATTTTCTAATATTAAATTGTGTAAAAAAACTCAAATATTACGTAAGGTAGACCCCAAAAATTAAAGTGAAAGAAGAAGCAGAGAGATCAACAGAGGAAGAGATAGATATACTCGAAAAATAAGGGGAGAGAGTCAGAGAGAAAGACAAAGTGTCGAGATTTATCAGACTGGGAGAGCGTGCGTCACAGTTAATGTTCGGAGAAAAGGTCGGAAATGGTAGGATTATTTAAGTGTAATACATTTACGACACTACCTTGCGACATATGAATCTGAGACTTGGATTCTTGAAATTATAGCCTAATACACAAAACAGAAATGGTTTATTTGCGATCATTCATAAGGATAACAAGATGACGTGAAGATAAAAGATGTTGAAATTTAACAATCTATATAAATAAAAAATGTACCATTGAATGAAAATACAAAATAAGAACAGAACATTCACGTATTCCAAATGAAATCATACAATGTACACACAGAGGCAATCAACAAAGGACCAACGAGTTCAATGTCTGTATTTCGAGGCTTTCGTAGACAATCCAGATCTTCATAGTATCTACATTGTCACTGCTAATAATATAAGAGATTCCGAGTTCACTTATAAATTCACAAGATGCTTAGCAACAAGTGAGTTTGTCATAGGTAATACAAAGCATTGAATATTTCCGATAAATTCCAGAGAAATTATTTATCATAATTCCAGAGTAACATACCAACGAATGAATGTATCTGAAAATTTACAATTGACAGCCGGTATTTAACAAGATTTCACGAATGAAATTATCTTCAAACAAGTTTCAGAATGTCCCCAATATCAGTTACTAGTGGATCCGGCAATGGTTCTCTATTGCAATGTATTACACATCACATATTCGTCACGTGAAAATTAATCACATTTCACATTACGCTGTGCAGAAAGTCTAACATGAAAGACGCGGTCACAGATCTCGCAAGTATGGGTTTGTTCTATGTCCTGAGTTAACTATGGTTGTCAAGTATCCTACTGATAAAACGTCCTCCCTCACATTTGGACATGCGTTCGCTATGACTCTTTATCATAGAGAAATTTGACTGATTTGTCTAAGATTCAATAATTTCGACCGATATTTCACAAATTCAGCGCTAGAATACTTGTGTGCAGTGAAGACGCGCTTAATCCTCGAGTGGGCGGCGGGTTGCGCAGAGCTCGAGGGCAGATGAGTCATTACAAATGAATAAATCATCATAAAAACTCCTTCACATGTTTGACTTAAGCCAAACCACTCTTGAAAGGCTCTAATTACTAATAAGAATAAAGTGTGAAAATTTAAGTGAAACTGGACGAGTAGTTTTTGCGTCAACGTGCGACTCACATACTCCCATTCTCTTTATAAATAGATATAGAATATTGTGGCCGAGCTCCAAATGCACATGACTGCACCTTCTATGACTTCGCAGTTTGTAATTGACCTGCAGAGAGGAAGTGACAAGAAAAAGTTATATACCGTCTTGATTGGTGCACAGCGGTTGGGGGATACGCTACCAATTGGTGCATACCAGATGCAAATTTCAAGCTTTTGGTGTCCATTTCACAAGTGGAGTAACTTGAGTAACAATAAACCTCGCGGTATATTAATAAAGACTATTTCACAATGTGAATACTAAATAATAAATGTTTTTAAGAATTTAAGTATATAAATTGAATTAAATTGATGATTCATATCAAAGTCATCGCAACTCGATAATAGGACGTTTCGTTAATCGGCACATTTATTGAAGGATTTCTATGAGGAAGCAAGCACCACATCAAAGGGATAAATAAAAGCCATAGAATCATAATTTTATTCATGTAACCAATTTAAATTTGAAGTTAATATTTTATTTGTTTTCTTATAGTTTGGTTTGTTCAGGAAGTTTGACTAACAAAATATTTAATGATCCACACCGTAGTAAACGATGGAAGAAACTGAGTAAATTTGTTTAATATCTACTGAAGAAACCTAATCTGAAGTTGGAGAGAGATAAAACAAAACAAATGGTATAAAATAAAATTTACTAACTACGAATCACCTCTGACTCATCAGCAAGATCATTTTTCAATTATATTTTCTACAAATAACTATAGAGTTCCCATATATTCACTATTTGGGTGAACTGTTCACCATTTTGATTAATAGTGCACTGCCAAAAAATGAAGATAGATAACCATTGAATATACATTCCAAGTGAAAATAAATAGTTATACTACAAGAGCAAGATTTCTGCCGTTTTTTATTAGTTTCAAACGTTATGAAAGCACAATTTTGGCAGTCAGAAAGAGACTGAATAACTTGTAATACTATTTCAGTTCTGCGCACCAGTCCCATATTGTAATTCAAGTACCGAAATAATGTTTAGCATCAGAACAGATGTTTGAATACGCGAACGTTAATAAATGTAGGTGGGTCCAGTTTTCCAGTCCATTTTCTGTAATACTCCATGTAGATGTATGGATGTTAAAGAATTATTTAGAATAATACTATGGTTGAGAAACTTACGTTCTTCTCAGATCGGCACGAAGCAATTTCCAGAGTTGTCATCACCAACTCTGTAACATGAAATCGATTGAAATTACTATATATTTTCCATAGCGTTTATCAGTGGTTTGCATATTCTGATACATTATTCTTATATTTTACGGCTTTTCGGCTTGTTGATATTTCAACGAATACGATTTACGATTATTAGATTTATTTCTTATTTATTTTCTTGATACAATTTCGGCTTTTTTATCTGTCAAAATTCGAAGTTAGGTTACACTTAATCAAAGAGCAGGACAATCGACTGCGATATAAATCAAAGACCAGTTGATTTGAACACCTTAATTTAAACTAATAAGCCCTGCGAAAATGTGCTCGTTCAATACATTTTCTTTTCTTCGTTTTATTTTTAAAACTGAAAATGATCACGCAGTATTTGTCTCCCATCCTACAATTCCAAACACAGATATATGAAGGAGTCTATTGAAATATAGATCAAACAGGCTCCGTAAACAGTACTCGACTACAGTGTTGTGAATGTCGCGGGGAGTACGGCTGGTGAACGTGATAGTGACAGGCATTCGGAGACTTGGATTAATATGCTGTCACGTGTAAGTTCCCCCCACGTCTTGTAGAGCGCAAAGTTCACTTCAACAGTTGGCACGCTAGTTAAGGATGTGACGTAGGCAGGGCCTTCGTGTCAGATCGATCAGGGAATATTAATTTTCATGAAAAATCTGTGTAAGGTTTAAGAACAAGTTGTTGTTGATGGAAAGACGCACACAGACACGCGGTTGGACGGACACACATTTTTTTGTTTAACTTTTGGTGAATAAGGGACCCCCTTCCAACTTTTATTTTCGTCAAAACTTACACGGAAAATTGATTTTTGCATGCATTTTTTTGCAAATTACACAACTCTCTATATCGTATACGAAAGGATAAAGTAATAAGTGTGCATTGCACATGTGTGTATTGACGCAACCCCCACAGTATTCGAATGGTTGAACGCTTTTTGTTTTGACCTTCGTTAAGCCCGCCATTTTTCGGAATACAGTTAGTAGCGCTGGGTCTAGAAACACAGAGCTATATTTTTTTTTAGTTTTTAAACAATTAGATGTGTCTATTAGAGAAAATGTATTATTTACATTGACTGATGAAGTGCTAGGACATTAACTGATGAGAAATAAACCCCCGGATGCAAACTAGTTTAACACATGATGTCACCATATCGCATAAACCTACGCCAAGCACACATCGAGATTTTGAGTACTTAAAACGTCTATTAGACGCCCAGCGCGCCTAACGAAAATGATGGTGGTGGTGGTGGTGAGGGTGAGGGCAGAGCTAGGTAGAGAAATAGTAATGGAGATGGGGATGGGGATGAACCGGAGGTGGCGGTAGTGGTGGAAGCACTTTCGTGGTGAGGGTGGTGGGCTGGTGGTGGGGGTAATGGTGGAAGTAGTGTGGGTTGGGAGACAGACATCGTTGTGGCTGAGGTGTTGGTCAAAGGGCCAGAGGTGGTGGGGGAGGTAGAGAAGGGACGATTAGTGGTGAGGATTGGTAGAGGTGGTGAGGACTGACATGGTCGGTACATGCCACGCCCCTATCAAAATATTCAGAGGGACACCACCACCCTACGTGCATTCTTCCGATGCAAGAATGCAGGTAGCGTGTATGTCTGCGTAGCGCCAGCCTCTTTCAAAATGACCAGGGGGCCACGGCTTCCTCTGTGCTTCCAGTGCGTGTGTGCATAGCACGTGAATGTGTGCGCAGGCCACGCTCCTTTCAAAATGTTCAGACGCCACGGCATGTGGACGGGGCCAAGGCCTCCTGTGTGTTTCTGTTTCGTGTGTACAGAGCACATGGCAGTGTGCGCAGGGCCACCCCCTTTTAAAGTGTTCTGAGAACCACGGCCTCCTGTGCGCTTAGTGCGCGAGTGTGCAGAGCGCGTGGCTGCGTGCGCAGGGCCACACCCCTTTCAAAGAGTTCAGGGGGCCGTGGCCTCCTGTACGTTTAGTGTGCCAGTGTGCAGAGCGCGTGGCTGCGTGCGCAGGGCCCCGCCCCTTTCAAAGAGTTCAGGGGGCCACGGCCTCCTGTGCGCTTAGTGTGTGAGTGTGCAGAGCGCGTGGCTGCGTGCGCAGGGCCTCGCCCCTTTCAAAGAGTTCAGGGGGCCACGGCTTCCTGTACGTTTACTGTGAGAGTGTGCAGAGCGCGTGGCTGCGTGCGCAGGGCCAGGCGAGCGCGTACTCCGTGCCGGGCGCCTTCGAGTGCCTGCCGTGCGCGGAGGGCTGCGAGGCGTGCCTGGACGAGCGGCCGTGCGTCGCGTCGCTCAACTGGGCGCTGCGCACGGCCATCCTCACGCTCACGGGCCTCGCCGTGCTCTGCCTGCCGCCGGCCGCCGCATTCACCTGGAAGTACGGACACGTCAAGGTACGTACCTACCGACGCTCGCTTCCGCTCTGAATGAGACTCTCGTGTTTATTAATGTCGTTAACCACTGATAATGTTTAGAAAAAATGAACTTTTATTTTAAGGAATTTAAGAATAATTCTGACCCTTCGTCTGTCTGAGTTATTGTTGATGCATGGCACGTATACTAATGTGGTAATTACTCCCGTTAGTTCAGTCCCTATTTTATCCCGGCATTTGGCAGTGTTTTCCCCTAGCATGGCATTGAGACCCGACGCCAGTCTTCACGGCTGGCGGGGGATTTCCTCCTGATAGCCCTCCAGCGGGCACCGAACCATCCAGCTCACACCGTCGATTGGTTTCCCGATATGTATGGTGTCGTCCTACGTGCAGGTGTAAGATTTCTTCTAAGGAGAGCCTGAGAATTGGAGATACGAGTAAGAAAGAAAAGATCTCGCTGTCTGTAGCCCGTTTGTTAGGGTACTGCTCAGGCATTCACATGGTATTTATCTCAGAATATAATGAAAATTGCGGATAAGAGCCACCGGATGCTAGAATTCTTCTGACCGAAGATGAACTCTACACAGCTATCCAGCTAGTGTCGAAAATTCTGCCAATGTCGGTACTCAAACATCAGGACCTCCCGGTCAGACTTTGCCATAAATTGATGACATCTTGACATCAGTTGATGCACAGAGCCACTTAGGCCGGTTTAAGCAATTTGATAAAGCCAAGAAAATCCCAATCTGGATAGCGGTTCATTGGATGCTCAATTATGCGATTTCAATCGAGTTTTTCACTCCAAGTTAGCAGCACGATATCAATCTGTGATGACTATTGAGGCAAGTATCTTCCTGGAATTAATTTTATTAGAATCTATAAGGGATATTATAGAGTTCTTTAACGTGCCGCAACCGCGACAGAGAATGGCCTGTTTCCAAGGTAAAATTCATTAATTATTCATCATAAGAACTAATACTTTGTAGAGTATTATCTGATAACGTAGTCGGAGACAGTTAAAGTATCTATTTAAAAAATCAATGATGTAAGGTTTTACAGGTAAGAAGCATTTTTTAATACCCCTTGACACCCACGGAGGTATCTCAACGCAATCTTCCATACGCGACTCTCACGCGGGTTGCCTATATTTTTGGTGCAAAGGGGTGAAGCAATGCGAAGGAAGGTTGCTATGGAAAGCGTAAATTATTTTTTAAGCAATACATATTAACCTTTCTGAGTTGCTATTTGAAACTTTTCAGAGTCTAAGGAATTGGAGGCTATCATTTTTTTCATTCTTAATTGTCAACTGCGCTGGATTGCTCTTCCTTTTTTAGAAAAAAAGTTTTGTTTTCCTTGTACTAAATGGTTTACGTACGTATATCTCTGTAGCAATTCTAAAATCTTATTAAAAATAGTTTGGATTTTATTGATTTTGACCAATTTAGACCAATTCTGACCAATTTAGGTAGGTGCGACCAGTAATTAGAATGGGCGGATTGGTATAAACGAAGAGAATCAATAATAATCTTTTCCAATTTACCTTGACAAACTTGACTGCTCTTTTGCTAAAATTTTCGTTCTCTTCTCCACCTGCACTTTCCTTGTCTGCCACTGAAATATTCGCTCTGATGAGTGATGTGGCGGCGCGTGCATGTGCTTGGCTTCAACCGAGCTGTTCACGCATCCATGGTCCCTCACGACAATCCAAGTAAGATTAATGACCTGATGTTGCCAGACTGTTCCCCGCGTTACTAGTATATCCACTATATTCGCGTTAACGACTTGGCGATATGACACTCTAAATAGATAGTTTCCACTACATCAGAACCAGATTTGATCGTTTTCGTTTAAACTTGCGTGTTTATATCGAAGGAATGCTGTCAGAAGTGAGTTTGTTGTATTAATAAAGTTGTATTACAAAATGCAGTGTGCAATGAAAGATACATAATTTTCTCACAAGAACTATTTCACAACTATTTTTATAAATTTTGAAAATTTAATTAAAATACATAGCAAGATTATTTCGATGTATCGAAAGATCATTCATAGGACACTTACAACTCACCAAGTAGTAAGTTGTCAACTTGATGCCACTCTTAGTATTGCTTTCAAACTGCATTGCTTTCTCACACACAACATACGTAATATAGAGAAAGGTATGTAATGCTGCAGCAAAACTGATTTTTTGACAGAAAAATACGTATTTTAGGACCATGACACCAAAAACCTTGATAATTCGTCTTCCTATATTAGTAAATTTCATCCTCTGACATATTGTGCAGTCAGAATCCACATCTTCTGATACCGATAAATTGGTCTACGCCAAAATGCTTGTCCGTCAGTAAACAACGATCGCGGTTAAAGCGAACTCACCAGAATTTTAACCAAAACTGACATTCCGAATGCAATTTAACTGATGTTTCGATACAGATTTATTTCTCAACGACATCTGTTTTCAAAATTATATCATTGAATGGGAACAAGTACGATGTTTAGTAGCATAGTGGTATCCTCAGTTTAAAGAACTCTTATCGGTACAGTATTTTAAAACACGTTTCTAACTCAATGTTGTCGCATTATCAGGTAGTCTGAAATGCAAATGTAGATAAATCTGTTAGACAATAATATACAATCAATAATTGGTTTGATATAAGTAAATAAAGTAGAACAATTTTGAACAGATGGTCAGTTTTCACGTCTTGTTGCTTAAAATAAAGACAATTGTGAATATGACCTTTCCTTAATACGGCTCCCTCTTTTCTCTTCAGGTTGTACGTGCGGCAAGCCCTGCTCTTCTGAGGTTCATCGCTTTGGGAGCCTTCTTCATCTACGGGACGGTGAGTCAATGCAGATACCTTTCAATTAACCAGATGGCTACAAATTAGTATTTTCTAACATATCGAATAAACCCAAGCAGAAAAGGAATTCTACACGACTTCTTTATCTTAAGGTATTTCTTTATCTGGTGTTCAACTTGCCGTTAGTGTAACGTCTGTAGGGGATTCTTCGTTAATTATTGAACTGATGAGGAACAACAGATATTTTTAAAAAATATCACGAAATAAAAAGATAAAATTGGCATAATAAATATAGTAGTACTTGGATTATTATTCTCCTCGTAAACGGAATACTGTATGATCAAACACCGAGAGGTAGCTATTTCAAAGTTTCTTCGATGTCGTTTAGTTGACGTGAATTCATATTTCTTGATTGAAATCAGTGAAGCAAGCCCATGAAAAACAATAGCTCACAACGTTAAGGTTAATACGTAATATTATTATTATTATTATTATTATTATTATTATTATTATTATTATTATCACAATGTTAATGGTTTTCTCCCCAATATATTTCTTAAATTATTTCTTAAATTTTTATTATCATTTAAAGGGGGTGAAACAAAACAGATTAGGAATTGTAGAGTGTATAAACATTCATCAAATAAATCGGACATAATATTTCCAAAATTGCGGCCACCTGAATAATTAGAACACATCCATTTTGACATACATAATAATTTAATAATTAACTGGATTTGTGGCTATAAACAATCTGGATTAATATCATTTTCAATTGCCCTTCATTTATGAACACTACAATCATAATCTAAAAAACATTAATATTACAATTTTCATTGTGCTCACGACAGAAAATACGAAATCAAACAAACCCAAGATCACACTTAAGATTTGACAATATTTGTTAAGTGATATAAGCAATATAATGCTTAAAGAATCGTAAAAAATGATCATACGCAAACTCCATACCTTATTTACGTACGTAACAGCGTGTTGTAGCGGTGTTTAGTTATAATCACGTACATTTTAAATATTATTGAAAAACTCTGCCATATACCGCGAGTGATAGCAGATTAAACATGCAAAGCTCAAATATTTTTTATCAACTTTGATTGTCTAAAGTCAAACGTCAAGAAACTAAAATAAGTTCCATAATAAGATTTATACGATCAAATGCTGCAATAACGCATTGTTTACTATTAAAAAATATCATGTTAGTATTAACAATTATCAAAACAAGTGTTCTGATAGTCAATGTGTTCCTATTATCAACTTTGTTACTTTTCATAGAATGTGTATTCACATTGAAATGAAAATAGTAATGCACTGAACATTTTACAAAGCGGATAAATCACTATTATATTCTTAACATAAAAATACTCGATGGGATATCGAAAGAAACCGTGAGAAACTTTGATAATTCTACAATCTTCTATCTTACTATTAAGATGCCTAAAGAAACGTATTGGTAAAAAACTATTATACAATTTAACAAAATTTTCCCAGACCGTTTTCGTTTGCAATATGTTAATGCATTGTAATCTGATCTCGTTTTAGAAAATGTAAACATAATAGAATAAGGAACATTAGTAATGAAATAATTTAATGTCGTAAATTTCAAATTCAAATGAAATTCATATCCATTTTATTATTCCAAAGTTTCCACTTTCATTCTTGTGCATTTCAAAAACTGCAAATTGTTCAGCTATTACCTTCTAAGCGTAACCTACTCGATCTCTCACTGTCAATGGCTAGCAAGGTACACACGTTATACCATATTTATCAAAATATTTTCTGGATTGCCCTACTTTCGAAAGTCACATTTTGTGAATCAAGCTTTTCATTCACTCTTGTCACACACAACTCTTCGTGTTATCGCAAACACTCGAGATGAAGGAAACACTTCCGCCCGATTCCCCGTTTCTTTTTACAACCGGAAGAGCTCGGCTGAAAAACTTCCGAAGTCGTTTACTACGGTCTTCGTCAACGTTCAGCACCAAGACGCGTGTTGAGCGCTTCAAGATGACGTGATGGCAGGAAACAGATATCCACATTAATTCGGTTGCCTTTCCCTTTCTGCTTTTTCTAATCAAAGAAATGTCAAAAACTTCTTAAGATCTCAAGAAAAAATATTTTTTATAATTGTAAAATATTTGTCAATGTCTCCGTTTCCGTCAGTGCTCTTATGCAGGCAGTACACGAAAGAAATAATGACATTATAACCACAAAAAATACTAATCAATTTAAACGCAGTAAGAATTCGTTTTTTATTGATTAATTGGTGATTCCGGGTGCGTTTACCACTAAGGTCTTTAGTTCAATAAGTGCAGTGCATGGTTTCCTCAGAAAGGGGAGGTGATCCCCTATTTAATGACGAGATAGGGTCCCGACCTATCCGTCTGCTAGCACGGTTTTCCCAACAGGGTATCTCCCACCAGTGGACCACCACCTCAGCCGAGACAAGCTCTATGTTCCCGGTCTCCTGTCTTGTGTGGTAGTTCAAATAAGTGAATGTGTGCGTAAGGAAGGGGCGAGGATAAGACAAGGAAGAGGAAAGATCGCGCGCGGTCCGCGACCTGGCGGTTAGAGTATTACTCTGGCATTCGCCTGGTGTTGATCGGAAAAAACACGGAAAATACCGACCAGAGCATCCGGCCGCTGGAATTATCCTCCAGACTGCGACTGAACTCGACCAGACTATTGTAGCTTGTGTCGAAAATCCTGCCATCGTCGGGAGTAGAAGCCTAGGACCTCCCTGTCAGAAGCAATGCAGTGACATTACCAGTTGCCGTGATCCCCTCCTTCAGGCGCGTGGGTCCATCAGAATTTTAATGCGCGCAATCACCGCAGATTCGTCATCAGGTGCAGTTTTGAGGCTGAAGCAGAAGGTTAGTAGTTGACCCAAGGGTAAAATCAGAGAATAAGAGCGGGAATAACAATAAGGAACATGAGAGAAAAGGACGGGAAAAAGACGAGAAGTTTAGGGGGAAGGAAAGAACAATAAGAAGATGGAAGAAGAATGTGAATAAGAAACAAAACACGCGAAGAGGAAGACCAACGTAAGGAATAAAGAAAAACAATGAATGAAAACAAGGATGATGAAAATGAAGAACGAGATAAAGAAATAACAACGGGAGATAGGAAAAGAACAACGACGGTAAAACAGAACAAAAGGAGGAAATAAGTAATAACAAGAGAAAGTACGTACAATGTGAGAAAGGAAGAACCACAACGAAGGAAAGAAATAACTAGAGAGAAAAGAAGATAGAAAGAAAGAAAGAGAATAGGACCAAAAAGAGAAAGAAAGAAAGAATAAAAGGATAGAGCGAAATACCCAAAGAAAAAGTGAGCCCTGTCAACTGGACGCCGGTGATCTGTCGCGACCCGTGGTAACGATTCCCCAGTCAGTCGTACCATTTCGGTCGCGTTTTCTCTCGGGCTGATCCGCGCGGGGGAGGGGGTGGGGTGGGGTGTGGGGAGGCCTGTCGACCGCCTCCGTTCTCATCCGCCAGATAAAATCGCCCGCGGGCGCGCTTTGACGGACGGGCCCATCCCCGGCCGACATGACACTCCGCCCGGGAAGACATCGCGCTGTCAAGCGGCTCGGCCGGGCCTCCACCCCTGAACACTCACCCCCCCCCCGCTCATCACGAAAAAGCCTGCGGAAATACTACTGCGTCCACTCGCTTAAACGACCACTGGATTGTAGGCCCGTCCCCTTATTCCAACCCTCATGTCGCGGCATAGCTATCAATAATTATCAACAGATTATTTATCGATAGGTCATTTCATTGATCTTGACCTCGTATTATAAATATAATGTAGAGGATCGTGAGGGAAGGTCAATAAAAAGTCGGTACTTTAGTGTATCAAGGTTTCAGCTTAAATCAGGCAAAAGAAATTGTCGAAACGTAAAAAACCGGCATTATTATTGACCTACCCTCTCGATTCTCTACATCGCAAGTCAGAGATTACTTCGTGTTTTCGAGTCTGTCAGCTATTTTTTCACTAGTCCCATGAGTGTAGTGCGTGTTATTGCCGGAATGTAGCGGTGCTCCTTTGCCCACTGGAACATAAACTCGGGAGCCAACGTGCACATTGATCGAAAGGATTTTTTTACCTCTAAATACATTTTACAGTGAAGTACTGTTGCACCCGGGACAACTCTAACCTCACATTGGTCTTACAAGTCGACGTGCAGGTCGGTGCCGGATTTTACGTTCCAGTGGAGAAGGATGTTCGCTAAATCCATAGAGATAGCATACACTACATTTAAAATTAAAATTATGACAGTAAAGAGCGCGTTTGCAATCAATACTCACTCACTATTTCTATTATATACCTTCTCTCCATAGTTTTCGATTGCATTTAGATCCATTCTCTAACGCATTTTTTATCTTATCTTCGAAATATTTGAATGCTATTATTATATCTCACAGTATCAGTGTTTCATATATGTTTAAACATTTCCCATTGTTGAAAGAATTACTCTTTTAAAGCGCTGTATCACTGTCGTTAGATATTTTCCACAAGACGGCATGCCTATCATCAATCATTGTAAAAAATAATGAAAGAAGGGGAAATACTATATGAATGTCAAGGAAAAAGGCAATGAGTGGTTTAACCTCCATTATTTTCTTTTCAAATCGAAATGATATCATCTTGCAAAAACATAATATCCCTATCTTGTCTTGTAAAAAGGATAAAATATATTTTCGTACTGTTCGAATGTACCTGCTAAATGATACCTTAAATTCGGAAAGGCACAAATAGGCAGAATATATTTTGTAGAAGGTTAGCAGAAAAGATCTACTAAGCAATTAACGCCATAATTGACATGAGAACACCAGTTAAATTTAATTTACATAGCAGTCAACACCAAGCGATAATTTACATTGCAAATCGGGGCGCGAATACTCAAGAAACAAGAGCACACTTATAAGGAAACTTTGCAATTTTCATTCGCAATTTCGTCGTCGACAATAATCATGAGATAACTGAGATTATAATCATCATTGGCAGTTGTATGTTGTAGTAGT